ATGCATTTAGACAGTAAATTTTCTAGTATTTGATTGGTTAATACTGTTTAAATGCATAAAATTGATTTTTTTTTTGTGTCCACCGATGGTATGCATTTAGACAGTATCAACTGTATACATTTTTTAATTTTAACTAATTTATCCTTCTATCTTAAAAATCATACTCCTGCTTTATAAAAACTTTCTTGTATATGAAAAAAAAAAAGGTATATAGTTATAAGTTTAACTCAAATAAGCTTAATTTATTTATTTATTCGTTTGTAGCATGTGAGTGCCGCTACAAAAAAAACTTGTAATTCTTCATCTAACTTTTAATTTTAACAAATTTATCCTTTCATCTTAAAAATTATACTTCTGCTTTATAAAAACTTTCTTGAATAAGAGAATATTCACGCAAAAATTGGTACCGTAAAATCTCGAAATAGCGCGCTATTTTGACTATCTGCGCGCTATTTCGAGTACACCCATGGGCGTTATTTCGAATGTATAGGCTGAATTTCTGAATAGGATGTAAAATAGCCCACAAAGGATTTGTTCGGACTGGGTCTGGGACCGAGCTTTTTAGGGCAGGCCTGAAGCTAGTCCAGATAAAATTTAATAAAAAGGAATAATGAATACTTTTGGCATTTTGTTTTCAAGATTATCTATATTGTATGTTAAATTGCTAAGTTAGACCCGGACTTAAGAACTGGAGCTGGGTCGGACCGAACGGCCTTTTTGACATCCCTATTTTTGAACCTGACTTTTTTCAAAATACGTAATAGTGGGATGCGTTTTACTTTGGAACGCGCATGGGCGTTATTTTGAATCTATATATGCTATTTTTAGGGTGCGCGATTTTCGAAATAACGCCCATGCCCGCTATTTCGAGATTTTACGGTATATAGTTATAAGATAAGCTTAATTTATTTATTTATTCGTTTGTAGCATGTGAGTGCCGCAACAAAAAAACCTGCAATTCTTCATATAATGAGAATTACAAGTTTCTTTTTTCACGACACTTATTAAACTATAATTTCATTAAATTGTTTTCCTTTTTAGGGATTACTAAGAATAAGGTTGACATGAATGCCCGATTATGCAGAGTGATTCGAATTTGATTACTTAATTAAGAAGTTGCTTTTTATGTGTATGTTTAAATTATGTAACATAAAAAAATGTGCTATAAATAAATAGAATCATAACGATAAGTCTTATCGTTTTCGTTACCAATCAATGAATTATGTGCACAACAGTGGGCCAGTTAAAGGATATTCTTCCTCTTCGTCGTACGTTAAAAACGAATCAACCCATATTAATAACTTCTGTGACTATAAATTCTCCCCCTTCTCTTCTTAATCATCTTCATAAAATTTTTAATGATATTATCGAAGAAGGAACTACATATCCTCAAGAATTCATTCTTGATTATGATGGTTTTATTAATCAATTTTTAAGTCATAATACGTTTATTGCTTTGAAAGAAGATGATGATAATGATAAGAATAAAGAAGTTTGGGAGGATAAAGTGATGGGTATGTTTTATATAGAACCTAATTATCCTGGACGATGTAGTCATGTAAGTTACTATACACAATATAAAATGTATCTACAGCTTATACAATATCCTTTTAATTTTAAAATACCTATTAATAAATCAATCTTTTTTTATTAATTTAGATTTGTACCGCTGGTTTTGTGGTTCCATTAAAATTTAGAAATTTAGGCGTTGGTAAAAGAATGGCTGAATCATTTCTTTTATTTGCTCCATTATTAGGTTATAAATCTAGTGTTTTGAATGTATTTGAAAATAATATTTTTTCTATAAAACTTTGGAGATCTCTTGGTTTTAAAGAAATTGTAAAAGTTCCTAATGCTGGAAGGTTAAAAGGTTTTGATAAATTAATTGATGTTTTAATGGTTTATTATGATTTTGATAAAACAAAAAGGTTCGCGTTGGCTTGCAGTCGCAGTGAGTAATGTTAAATGTGGGTAGTGTGTAGTTGGATTTTAAGTAGGTTTAGAGTTTAAGTATTAGGAATAAGAATAGTGTTGTGTAACGTCACGTATGACAAATAAAATCTTATTATTTTATCGGTCAAAAAAAAGTGATGCACATGATGTTACACAAAGTTGATGTCGAAAATTATTTTAATATAACTTAGTGTGGCAAAAATACTATTCCTGATGGATCGGCAATACCGATCTTGATGGAGTTAAAAAAAAAATTTATTCGAGTACTGTTTCTGATAGGGTTCTTAAAACGAACCTAATCCTAACCTTTTTTCATTATACAGTTGCACGCCCCCTAAGTGCAAACCTTCTTTAAGTGCATACTATGGACTGGTCCCAAGCTTAGGACTTAAGAATTTTCTATATTCTGCATGTGCATAAAATTTTAGGGTCCCAAGTATATAAATATATTTCTATAAATGCATATATATAATTTTAACTAATAAAATCATTTCCGCGCATATTTGACATCACTATAATAATAAAAATTTTAAAATATTTAACAGTTAATAACTTTTGATTCACTGGACCGTTTTGGATGAAACACCAATAAGTCCAAAATCGCAAAAATCCAATCACAGGACCCGAGATCGTTAAGGTTTTGTGTTACTTTTATATATTTTAGAATTGATAAAATACATACAAAGTAACACAAACCCTTAATAATCTCAAGATTCTGTAATTGGAATTTAGCGATTTTGGGTTCTCCAGAATCACCTCATCAAGATGAACATTTTGGTAGGTGTTTTATCCAAAACAGTCCAGTGGATCAAAAGTTATTTACTCCTAAAAATTATGGAATATGTGTATTTATATTCTCTAAGTACAACTTATATCTAATTTTCTAGTACATGTATTTAGAGAAGTTTTCTATAAATGCATACCTCCTCTAAATGCAAATTTATGCCTGGTTCCCAATACATGTACTTAGGGAGGTATGACTGTAGGAATATAGTATTTTGAAGGTTCTTTTTTAGATTCCTATCAGGAATGATATATAAATTAATTTTTTTTATATTTTATCAGAAACAGTATCAATGATCTATAGAAAATAGTATTTTTACCTTAGTATGATTTAAAAAAATTTTTTTTTAATTAGTTTTATAATAAAAATACTGTTTTTGATAGATTATTAGTACTGTTCTTGATAGGGTAAGAAAAAAGTTAATTTATATACTATTCTTGATAGGATTTTTTTTTTACGGTTTATAGAATGACCTCATTGGTCGGGGTTTTCCCTTTATTATTAAAGTATCTGCAGTCCATATTTTA